AATTAACAGACTTTTATCAACTTAAACCAGATAGGGTGAATACAGCTCTTAGGCCAGATCTGCTGGTAATCTCGAAAAGCCTACTTATGAAACGATAAAGTTTCATTGCACAAACCAGGTTCTATCGCAATTCTTCCATTTATTTTGGGCTGTACAGCTTAGCCAGCACCGGACGAAGCACGGTCTTTGTGCCTCCTCCGGCTCATTGTAAGCCGTAAACAACGTTTCTTGTGATCCTCATTCCTCTGAGTTCTCGCAATCCGGAAGGAGGAGTGCTAAGGATCATGACGAAAATACGATTAGAACGGCACATTAACGTGCCAGTCATTCCGCTTTAAAATATTTTTGTTAGAATTGCCTGACAAGTTGTCGATCATTTTGCATCTGATTCCGAAATAATAAAATGAAATGGCTTATCTGATCTCTCCTTACTCCTCGGTAGACGGCACGATTTGAAGCCTCGTTTGACTGACCATGTCACGCTAAATGGCGGTTTCTGCACAATAGTTTATTTCGCGAAGAGAAGGCCCTTCTCGTTGTACATCAAGCAGCGAGCTCAAAACAGTCCGATGGTCTCAAAATTGTACGGATTTGCCTCTTCTCTGTGACTGTTGGCGCCGTTGTGTTTAATTTTTCTCTGAATTTTGGCCGGAACCGGTAGTTGAGCTACTCCGTTAGTTGCTGACCTTTAGCGGCACCAAGAAAAGACAATCTAAAAGGCTTTCATTGCATTGTCACGGGCGAATTTTCGCTCGAGCCGCTCGAAAACGGGGATGAAGTTGAAGAACTGAGCAACGCCAGCGATTGTGCTAAAGATGTGATTTGCCATTTGCTGTTGATGCATTCTACATTGGTCACAATTTACATGCATTTTTGTGCGGTGCGCTGTACTGCGTTGTGCTACGCCATGAGGTGACATCTATGCGAGAATCTAGGTCTAAATTCTATTCAACTATGCCATGCAATGCCATGCCATGCCATGCCAGGCCACGCCACGCCACGCAAGGCTATACCAAACTATGCTATTTTATTCTATACTAATAATAATATTAATAATAGTAATAATAATAATATTACTAATTTTAGCAGTAGTAGTAGAAGTAGTATCTTCATTATCATTAACATGTTAGTACTATTATTGTTATTATTAGTAATATTTGAATTATTACTATTATTATTATTATAGCTTACCTTTTCGTATTGTGTCCACATTACTTCTATAGTGTATGCTTTATTATACCCTCTTAAACCAAACTCAATCAAGTCACGTAAAGCTATTTCATGCTAGTGCATTAAGGGAATACCAAATCGTGAAATGCATACTATGTAAGCCTATTGCTTACTATAGTCCTTTATTGGATTGTACATTATACTAGTCCGCTATAGTGATACATAATAAATAGCTGTTTCGTACCCAACTGGGTTGTGGTTGTTTATGCTATCATGCATTTTTAATCTTCCAATATATTATTCAATGTCTTAAAAGACTGCTACATCACCTAATGTATGTATTAGGCTGTAGGGTCTCACTACAGGGAACTCGTGATTTCAAAACTTTTGGCACAAATAAGAGCTTTTGCTCAGAATTTTCGACCAGTTTGCTAAAGAAAATCATCCGATGCAAAAAAAAAGAATTTCTCGGGTTTGACCGTCCAATGCATATGCACCAGCCAGAACTTTCCAGTCGATTTCAGATCCGTTAGTTTGAGTAAAAAATAAAGAGTCTTGAATTTTCTACAAAAAGATTCCGGAGCAGTAAAAACTTTGCAATTAACACTTTGTTTGCAATACATAAAGTTGATCGGAAAAGGCTTGACGAAACCTGACTACTGGACACACGCAATAGAATAAGCGGAATTGATTAGTTCACAAAGAGGGTTTCATAAACAATTTCTGTCAAATGCAATTTTGTTCGCGTATTCTAGGGAGTTGTGTCACTTTGTCTTGCAAGATGAGCGAATTAAGCAATATAGTCATATCTTGTCTTTTCCTTAAAAGTCACTTGTCCTACGGTTGCAGAGCACATTGCCTGATTAACCCTAGATACGAATGGAAACTGGGTTTCGATCAATCCCTTGAGATAACATTGTTAGGGGGACTTTCAGTTCTTATGAAGGTGAATGAAGAAGAGATTCGTTGGTCGATCTCACCAGATGATGACGGATGAATCTCGTTGTATTGTAGCCGTCTTGCTTTTATACGATATTCATGTCGACGCAGTCCACGAGACTTCTTCCCTCGTATCGGGTGAAAACGTGCTGGGCTTTCGTCCATCATCCGATTTCTGTAAAAGTCTCATGTTAACACAAGGGGAAGCCGACTTAATTAAGCAAAGTAAAGTCGTATAACAGCCAAATGGCGGCAGTACAACGGGATTCATCCGTCTTCTTCCGGTGAGCTCGACCTACAAATCCCTTCTTTATGCACTTTCATATGAAAGGAAAGTTCGCCCAACAAAACTTGACTCTATTTCGACAAGACACAGCTGCCCTAGAACTCATTGAAAGAAGTCACTTGAGTCGGAAAGTCAATTTACTCCGAACACACATTTCACTCGGTGGCGTAGTTGAATCCCTTGGAACATTTCGTTATAAACAATTCGACACTTTTCCAGCCTTCATCGCAAACTATGTCTGGAACTTTAAGATTGGGTGACAGCAGAGAAGGACCTATTTTAGCAAACGTTCTCGCTTAGACACGGTCTGGACAGGTCTTCACACTCTGTGCATGTAAAGCATCGAAATAAGTCACACAATGGCAAATGGAATATAGTCACATCGGTGCTGCACAATTGAGGTTGAGATGTCCTATAATTAATCACAAATACCCTCACTTCCCATCTTCCCATCCCTTTTAATAGCTCGCAATGCCCTCAAAACTTACCCAATCACGTTGTCGCTTCAGCTCTACTCCACAGACGTCTGTGCATTTGTGTGCCCCGTTCATACTAACGCATGTGAGTGTGTATGTGCGCTTGCATAATTGTGAATTCGACTTTGTGGCAGATGCTCGAGAGAATCTTGCCTCGTCGTCATGCCTTTTCCAAAAAAAGGGAGCACATGTTGTACCCCGTTCAGGTGACTACTTGTCTCACATGTT